CATATGGTACATTAAAATTGTTTTTTAACATTAAAATAAAGAAAGAAAAAAAAACACCTTAACAAAAAAAAATTTGCAATGAATGTGGACAGAACTCACTTTAGTTGCCAAAAAGATTTAAAGATAAACTGTTCTCACTCCTCTTGTTGAAAAACAAACCAAAAAAAACTTATTGTATTCAGTTATACTGGAAAACTTGCTTTGTAAGCCTTTTGCGTTGGCTGTAATTCCCATGCTTGTCTTGCTGGACACAGGTGCTCCACGCACCACATCATTACAGTTGAGTAAACTAGCCTCGTGTCGCCCAAACAGAAGAGATGAGGCTGAATTTAATCACACGGTCCCCTGTCCTGCCCAACCCGTCCTACCTCCACTCCTCGTTGGGCCGTGCCTGTTCGTATTTCTCCCTGATGTGGGACACACCCATGTCCGGGTGGAGCCAGTGCAATTGGTCTCTGGACTGGCTGTTGCTGAGTCGGAGGCCAAAGCATGAGGTCCAACGGACCTTGTTGATGTCCAGAATCTTCTGGATGATCCCCTGCATTCATGAAGGACCAGAAAAAATAAGTTAGAAGGTAGGAATGTCTACCAGGCTAAACTAATCTGTTTATCCATTTTTTTTCTTCAGTCTACCTGCACATCTGTACAGAACCAAACATTCAGCTCTGCTCCACCAAACACTTCCAAGGGTGATTATGTTCACATCTTACATTTTGTTTCGGGTCACGAAGTGTGTGTGTGTGTGTGTTTGTGTACATTTTTGACTCCAAGCGATTTAACATGAGGCCCCTACCCAAACAACTTGGCAGACATCATACGTCCATAATAATGCTCAGAGAACCATGCGTGTTGCCATGAAAAAGGCTGGGGGCTCTGACCTAGATACCAAAGAAGATGGGGATTAAAGGAGAAGAGTGGGGCGGATATATGCAGTAACATATTCTGCATGACCACTAACAATTCACACTGAGTTAGGTACTTTCTGTCATGGTTCAAATGAAAAGCGTGCTTCAATACGGCTTAAATAAACACAAAAATTGGCCCCTCAAGATGCATGCAAGCAGAAAAGCTGCTTGTGGTGAGTTTTTGTTGTTAGAGCTGACAGCTTGGACCGCAAGCTGCAAAAAACATCAGAAAATGTTCACTTTTTACTCTGCTTCAGAGTATGAACTTTTAATGTTATGTTGTAAATCCTTCTTTCAAAAAATATATGTATACAGGTGTCCCCCAAGGCTCAGTTCTTGGATCACTTCTTTTTAGTTTGTATATGACTGATGTGTTATACGGAATTCCTGGTGCAGGTTTGTAGCTGGTAAGTTGTGTTAAAACAACTGTTGTGATATTTGAATTCATGCCTCAAGCTGAATGTTAAAAAAAAACAATTTACTTTTACTCAAGGGTTCCTCTGTTTGAATGATAGTAACTGTTAGCAACTTCTAACAAGTCTTAGAAGTAAAATATAATGGGAGTCATTTTATGTCATTACTGTCATCAGTTTTCCTGCTGCAGATGTTTTCATGTATACAGTTACTTTTTGTTTTTTGGTCAATTGCTGTAACTTCCAGGTCAAACCCAGGAAGCACCAACAACAAGAAAGCCTCTGTGGATTATATGCAACAGGGCGATTAACACCTCGGAAAGGAAACCTGTTACATCACACCACCTACATGTAGTGACTGTAAGCTTAATTTCAAAAACCTCCGTGCAAGTTGCAAACCTCAAACTTACTTTAAAGGCTTACTTGTAAGACTACTGGGTTGTGCTTGGTTCTTGTTAGAACTACTGGTTCAGCCATTTGTGGGACATACACCGGGAAACTGCAACATGTCTTAACTTAAAGTATCTCCAGAACAAAAAGCCTTCTCTGTAGGAGTTAACAGGTGAATGCGTGTCTTACCCTGACATCAGTCGCATCTCCGTATCTGATGTTGGATGACCAGAAGCTGTGTTCAGTGTTGGTCTCAAAGTAATGGAAGACTTTCAGAACCCTGTCCACGGAACCAGCCATGGTGCGGTCCGATCCCCCTGCGCTCAGCCGAGACTTGGCGCCTGCTAGGAAGGCATTGTTCAGGTTGGGGTCCATATAGGCTGTTGCCATGGTTTTCCCTGCTGAGACTGCCGCTGCTAGGTGTCTGTCATATTCTGCAGGGTTCAAAGAGAAAAAGCTGAGGTAAGTTAAAGGAAGAAGTAAAAGTAAAGTTTTAAAATTTTCCATGTTTTAGAATTTTCAAAAGTTAAACTCATAAAATAAAATAAAAAAATAACTTCTTAATTGATGTGAATTTTTCATCTGGGTACGTCAGCAGACTATAAAGAGTCGTTATGGTCCACTAAATACAGTTTATAACGTTTTTAAAAATGTTTTGCAAACCATTTTCACTTTTTTAAAACACTTTCAGGTTTCTAAATACCCTACCAGAACAAAAACAAAGATGTTTAAGTTCAACCTCAGGTGTAAAACACAATAACTCTAATACAAATTTAAAATCTGTTGAGGTGGAGTTATTTGTTATTTGTAATTCCTTTAAGTACAAAATATCTGAGTTGAACAATTAGGAAAATAGTATCCAGAAAAGGGCAAATGATAAGTCAGAACTTTAAAAGTCTGTAAAAGTTCAAGAAAAAAACGTGTTTTGCGGGAAGTGATTTCTGCCACGTGCTTTAGAACATATGTTCTGAGGTAAGTAGTAAAGTGAAAAATATCTGATGATCTGACACAAACAAAATGGAGAAAAATGAAACCACTAATCATGTTTGGATGGAAGGCAAAGGCATGGATCAGTTTGCAACATCACGGTACAACAAAATGTTAAAAGGCTCGGGCTTTAAAGCTGAGGACACTAAAGAGCCCCATAGTGACCACTGTTTTCGCCATTTGTTATAAGACTGACATAATTATGATGGAACTGCCCCTCCCCTGCTGGTTGCTGGACATATTGTTCAGCTGGCTGAAATGAGCCCCCAGTGCTTTAACCTCACTTACAAGTCAAATTTTGCTGCTGGAAAAAAACTTTGAGAGAAATATAGAGGTATATAGTAGAATATTTTCATTCTATCACTATAGCAGCAGTAGGGATATTTGCTGACTTTTGTTTTGTATCAAAGAAACAAGGTACATGGGGACAAAAGCATAAATTAAACAAATATTGAATGATCGTCGTAAATCAGTTGTTGGTTGAACGGTAAAATCTACTGTCAACTCCAGATTGTTCCAGCGCTAACGTTGCACATCTGAGTCCTCCTCGCTTCTGTTTTCCTACTCTGGCCTTCCTGTCACTTTTGACGTAAACGCTGTACAGTAAGTGTCCAAAAACAAAACATTGAACAATAAGATACCAGAAAGAAATGAAGCGACGCAATCGCAGCCAGGGCCAAGTCTCTTACTGTAGCTATAAACCAGAGCAGACAATGCACCACAGGCGGCCATGTTATCCTGAATAAGAAGTTCTGACATTGACACACTTCCTGTAAACTTCATCTGGAAACATAAACGTGTTGCTCTGTCGTCAATATCAGAAAGCAGAGCTTCAGATCTGCCTCAAGTTTCATTGTTCTGCTTCCCTTCCTTCCTTCCTGTGCTTGTCCTCCATTAGAAGAAAATGGATACGTTTTGGAAGGTAATTGCACCTGGGAGGACTGGAGAGGGTGTGCACACACACACACGCACATGCAGACATATACAAACACACAGTCTGCTGCAAGAACTGGTAGCTTTCCCGGTATACCAACTCCTATTCCCATGGAGTCAGATGTCACGCAGTGTGTGAGTGGTCTCATGCTCCTTGCTGCATGTTTCTGAGTGTGTGCTGTGAGGAGATTTCACTCATACCTCGGTCCCAGCACAAGGGGAAAGGACTGCAGCCGCTCATCGCCATAGAAACGCATGTCTGCCCCTTCCTGTGCCTGTCTGCTCCGAGGACGGAGAGGCAGCTCGGCGCTTCACAGCCTCGCATCGCTACGTGCCGAAGTCAAATAAACAAGCACAGCAGGATCCTGAGATGCCTTTCAGAAGGCTCTTACATAATCCAAACGCTAATTTACACAAAAATACATCCTGGAAGGGGTAAAGTAGCTCTTACACAACAGTTTGCAAAATATTACTTCCAACGGAGTAAAATCGACAGAAGGCCCATTTTTGAAGTGTTGAAAACAGCATGAAAATGCTCCAGAGTTGGCCGAGCCAGGAAGAGTTTCAGCTCAACAAAACTTGTCCTCTTGATATTTTTCTTTCATCCAAAGTTCACACAGAACAACAAGGTTCCCTGGAGACCCTCAAAACTTCAATGCTTTTCCTTTCCTGTCCGCTCCATAGTTACTCCTTAGTGTCTTTTCTCTGATGAAAACACATCGTCGGTTTTCAGACTCATACGACGCTTTGTGCTTGACCTCCCTCGTCTTGGTTACTGTGAAAGTTTCAAGCAACTGTTGCTCAGGGGAGAGAATAAATCCGCCAGGTTGCTGGGTAAAATCCTCCTTTATCGAGAACACAAAGCCAAATCCAGCTCATACAGAACTGATCCAGAGGAGCTTCAGTCTGCTGGTGCTCAAAAGAGAAGGAGCTGCAATTACTGCGCTCACAGAGAAACAAACACTGAGTTATAGTCTTTTGTCGGAAACAGAAAGTGAGAGGACAGATTGTGCCGCCTAAACAAAGGAAGCAGAGACAGAGGTGGGGAGGAATACAGCGATTGTTTCCATGTGAATGAGAGGAAAACGAGGACAGAGCAACACAACTGAAAGAAAGTTGAGGGAGGAATGAGAGTGCTCCATCCAGAGGGGACTGATGGAGGAGGAGGAGGAGCTAACATCTATTAATATGCTAATTCGATCCTCTCCATTTGACACAAAAACACTCCCACCCTTGCTCGCGAGGCTTATCTCTAATCTTAAGCTTATAAAAGTGAGTCAAAGAATGTAAAATACATATTTTCAATGCAGGAAAGTTTATTTTATTTAGCAAAGGACAGAAGTGTACACATCTGAGTTCGGGTTGCTTAGAAATGCAGGAAACCCCCAAATCCATCCCAATTCAAATGAAAATTTAAGATTTTCTTCAGATATTTTGATTTTTGTTTCATATTTTGAGAAACATGAAACAAAAAGTTAATAACTGAAATGAAATATAACTTTGTCAACTGAAATTAATCATGTTTAGCTCTAGAATGTGACCTAATCTACTCAACTTCAACCCTTTTCTGCAGCATATGATGTGATTTATACCAAGTAATGACATTAGGTTTTAGTAGGTAATTAAAAATCAAACTGTAACTGTTCCATGATGGAAGAGCTGCTAGTGGATATCAAATAATTTTCTTATTTTAATTGCCTAAATATGCAATGACCCATTTTGAGGAGCTGTTTTCCAGGAAAGTCTGAATGTCCCGGGAAAAATTCCTTCCAACAATTATTGCTTCGCTGCCTTCATGGGTAGAGATGGTCTGATTAGATTACGCTTCCTGACCGGTTATCAAGTCTTATGGCTTTCCTTGAAGACTGACCTGAAAATTTAGATTTTGGCCAAAATGTTTTTTGTTATTTAAAGCTTTTTTTTTTGTTGTTATTTAAAAGTTTGAACTCATAAGTCATAATGCAGAAATATCGATAGAGTAATTTTTATCCAACAAGAAATTATTTTTCCTATTTAAGCATTGCAGCATGTCCCTTTTTTAAACACAAAGAAAAAGAGCATCAATACTATTGGTTGATGTATTTATGTTATTTATATTCTTAGTTCTTATGCATTTAATCAATAGGGGAAAATGTTGATTTCAGCAGTTGAAAACAAATCAAGGGAAAAACAGGTCATTGTTCATCTCTGGACAATTGATGGCACCTCTAATTATGGGGTTTGTAGTTTTGTTACCTCATAATAACTTTTAAAAGCTTACAATTAAGATGAATAAGTGCAAGATGTTACAGAAACCCAGTCGATTTCTCTCCATTTCTTCCCAAACCAGCAAAAAATGATTAACATAAAAAACAATAGGATACGGTCATGTCATAAATCTGAATAGCCACATTAAATATTTTAATTAATACACTCACTTGCTTTATGATAGTGATTCTGTTCCATTACTCCCATGTTGAATCCTAACAAAATCCATTCTGTTCTTTCTTCCAAATGTGTTTTATTCTCATTTTTCTAATTTTCTTTTTATGTTTATGCCGAGGTTACATCATAAATCACAGAGTTTATGACAGAATGAACAAAATGTTGGGACAAAAGTATTTTCAAAAAATAAAAAGAGTAATTTTCTTACAATTAGCGTCCTTAAACATGCAGTTAAGCCCAGATAAAGAACTGGATCAGCTTCAATCGATCGCTAAGCAATCATTGACAAACCTGTAAAATCCTAAATCAGGATTGTCTCCAGACAGCCTAACTGAGCAGCCATTAAACTGTGCCTTTTCATGCGTGTGTGCACGTGCAGCTCTGCTATAATTTGTGGTCCATCTCGGGCTTTAGTCCATTGTTATGAAAATCTTCTGGGGAGCTGGGGGTTTGTGTGTTTGTGTACTGGTGGGGGCTATTAAAAGCCTTTTGTCAGAGGGGCCGGATGTTGCCATGAATGGGAAGATCTCCACTGGGACGGAGCCAAAACTCCTGTTTTTTAATTATTATTTGTCTCTTAGCATGAGTGAGAACATTATCAATCTGGTACATCATTTAAACAGAGCACCTTAGTTCTGTACTTTTGTCTGCCATTATGACTTCCCAGTGAAAAAAATCTGTATTTCTTACAAAATCTTTCAAGTTAAAGACAAAGGCTTCCTAAAATAAGAAAAAGATTATTTTAGGATTATTTTTTCTGCTTAGATTTTACACTTTAAGCATATTAAATACCGGACTTTAACATAAAAGAATATTATAGTTTTATTCTTTGATTCAGAAGTTTGGGAACCACTGGTTTAGACTGATAGTTTCAACATTATCAGGTGTTTTTAGTATTATTATTATTATTATTATTATTATTATTATTATGCTTAGAAACTTGTAGTTATACTGTTATTTATAATTATTTATTATATTTAACTGCATTTCTGTATTACAAATTATTTGATAATCTTTAGCAACTTGCCTAAAATGTGCAGAGCATCAATAACCAGCATATTGACCAGTATATCACTTTTATTTATTTTCAAGCCTTGTTTTTAGCTTTTGCAACATTCATAAAATGTATATGCTTTTTAGTATTTTCCCTGTTCTTCCATGTTTGTTATATTCTAACTTCATCGCCTGGCTGATAAACTTGGTGTTGATTCCATAAGGATGTTCTATAAATATAAGTGTTATGGAGTAATGATGTAATATAAATACATTTTTAACTAATTGCATGAACTGATAGTTTAAGGGAAAACGTCTGCTGGATAGCCGAGGTGATAGCAACTATAACAAACTTTGCTCAGGGCCACATGCTGCTCTCCCAGCTCCCTGCAAGCTGCAAATCTTCATATGTGTCAAGTACAGAAAAACAGGAACGGATGGTTCCGTGTTCCCAAAATAAATCATCTCTTCCAGTGTGGGCTGTGGACCCCTGATGTACAGGAAGGTGGTGCTTTGATCGCATGAAACCAAAATGAAACCTTTTGGCCAGAAAATATAGAGCACTGTACACGGGGATAACTTTCTTCACTAGGAAGAAGGAAACTCGTCAGAGAAAAATGGAGAAGATGAGTGCTGAATGCAGAACAATCCTGGAAGAAACAGGCTACAATGGAGTCGTGTAAATCAAAGTATATTCATGTGCTATAATGTCCCAGTCAATGTTCAGACCTAAATCCATTTGAGAACATCTATGTTGATAAAATCTCTACCTTAAACTCTTCAACATACTTACAAATGTTTCCAATACATTTTCTTCCCATCATATGGAGTCAAAGCTGCCATGTTCATGTTTCTTCTTTAAGATTCTTTTCATTTTCTTTACACTTTAATTACATACATACAAAGCGTACTAATGTAAATGTGGCAAATCAAGCTCAAGTTCTAGCAAGAAACAAGTAAATCTGTTGAGGCTGTGAATGTCGATTTTTTTATCTTATGTATGAGTGAATGAAGCAGCTGGATGATCTCACAGATTGTGTCTGCGGGTCAGTTGCTCACCTGTGTAGTAGGCGATCCTGGAAATATCTGAAAGAAAAACAGAAAAATATCCTGTCAGCGGGTTTTTTTTTGGCCCCAAACAAACAAATAGCAGGTGTCCCCAACCCTGCTCAATTGTATGACCTCCAAAACAAATATCCTGCTCTGCAATTTACGTCACCGTAACTGAATTAAAACTCAACCTGTGGTCTTCTGGTCACACACACACACACATTTCACTCGGTTATTGATTGACCTTTCAAATCAATATCCAATCGGTTCCTTATTCTCCGCCGACTCCCATGTTGAGGCCTCAGTATTTAAAAGTAATCAAAGGTTAAAGTGGGAAACTCTGGAGAATAGCCCTATTGTTTTGTGTTAAAGGTCCAGCAGCTGCGAGATGAGGATGTGGTTTAACCTCTAGCCTTTTGTTTGGACATCAAAACTTCACAGGAAGATGGAATACACTTCTGTTGCGTGACACAAGTGGACGTTAATGCTTTGCGTTGCTTTAATTCCAGTTTACCACCCCGCGTCTAGATGAAGATGGATTAAATGGATTAAATAATCTGGTTACTCGCCAGCAAGATTTGAAGTCTTAGAAGGAAACCATAAGCCACTGTAAGATCTTAAATTTCCAACAAAGCCCTTTAGATTTAAACATTTTCTTGCGTCTTCTCGGAAGAACAATTTGAAAACTTAATCTTTGGCCTCAGGAGCAGTTAAGCAGAAAAATATAAGCGTGTCAGTGCCTTGCAAAAAATTTTATACCCCTTCAACTGGCTAGCATCAGGTAACAACCACAATCTTGATTGGGTTTTAATGAAAGAACACAAAATAGCACATAGATGGAAACTTAACACTTTAAATCTTTACAAATGCTTTGTAGCTCCATCACTCAAAGCCCGAACAACTGATAGCTTTGAACATCTTGAAACAAAAACGGCTGCATACTCTTTTAAATGTCAAACTGGATGGAGAGCATCTGTAAACACCAGTACTTTACTTAAGCCAACAAAACTAAAACTGTAGTTTTGTTGGAAGGTGAACCTCAGCCTCGGTTAAATAATGCTCTCTTACAAACCTCTGAGGTCAGCCTTCTCAGATTTTTATTTGTCAAAGGTTTTATGAGGCATTCATCTTTATCCTACCTTCCACTTCACCATCGCACACCACTTTGTGTAAATCTATAACATAAAATCCCACTAAATTACATAGAAGTTTGTGGCTGTACAATGACAAAAATGGGAAATGAATACTTTTCCAAGTCACTATAAATACTTTGAGTATTTGACTGCTGCAGTGAGCTTTGATGACAGAGCAGCTCTGTAGCTCTGACAGGAAGTTCAGGAGAAGCTTTATGGGAACTTGACACCTACTTATGGGACTGACTGGGCTGTGTTAGAGAGAGGGTTATAAAGGATAAACGTCCAAGTGCTTCAGAAACAAATATTGCATATGGATGTCCAAATACACAGAGGGTTTAAGGACACGCATGGCTGTCAACTGAGACGACGTAATGGTGGAAAGAAAACTCTACAAAAACAGAAAAAGATACAGATGTGACTTATAGCGGGTGCATTATTAATAGGCATGTCGCGATAAACGATAAATCAATTAATTGCACGATAAATTAAACCTATCAACCTCATTTTAATTATCGGCTTTATCGTC